GTCCCCGCGTGCGGGCAGCTGGCTGAGGCGCCGGGAGCTTGTCCCCTCCGTTTATAACATCGGCGAGGTCTCAAATTTGTGAATACCCTGATGGAGAGGGCAGAGGGGCCTCAGCCGGACGGGCTTTGTGCCTCGGTCCGCTGCAGGATCGGTGTGAAGCCGCCAGCTCCGCAGTTGAATTAACCCTTCTAGCCCTAATTAATAACACAAAGGCCAAACACCCGGTCAAAGCCAGGATCGCTCTTGAGGGTTCCCCTTCTTCCTGTGAGTTGCTGCCCCCTGCTTTCGAAGGCGTCAGTGCAGTCACCGACTTCACGTCGCTGCTCCTCTACAGCCTTGGGCTCCAGCCCTGTGTGCCCTGGGGGGGGAGGGCGGGCGGGAGGGAGGGGAGCACCCTGGTTGGCAGCACCCCCGCTGGCAGCGCCACCCTCGAGCGCAGGCAGTAACGCTCTCCTCGTATCCTCGCAGGACATGCTGACGATGCTGGGAGACCAGGGACCCAACTACAACAACGAGGAGTTCCCAGAGTTGAACATATTCCCTTCTTTTTCAGAATAAAATAAGCCCTAGGGGAAGCACATTATAGCTATATCTAATATCCACGTGTAAAGGAAAACACCCAAGTCTTTTTTTTTCAAAGACTGATGAACTTTCTGAACACTTCCCCGCCGTCTGGAGGCGCAGCTCTGCCCGGCAGCCCGAGGACGCGTGGCCGTGCGGGAGGAGGATGCGGTGGGTTTGGGCGCCTCCTCTGCGCGGTGCCGGCCGCGGGGGACTGCTCGCCTGGAGGCTTCAGGACTCGAGCGCCGCGACAGCAGCCGCGCTCGCCGACCGAAGGCCCCGCGTCTTTCCGCAGCCGCTCGCGGGCGGTTTTCCTTCTGCGTGCTGGGTCGGTCAGAGGGATTCCTGTCTGGATTGCAGACGGCCCCTCCAAACTCATAAGGTGGCTTTTACCGTTTTTATGTCAATCTTCTGTACCGTGACTCTTTTTCTATAAAACACAAAGTATTGGAACTTTTTAAACACCGGAAGGAACTCTTCCAAGCGTTACCCATGTGTGGCGCAGTCCTGGAGGACGCCTGCCTGAGAGCCCGTGTGGTCGGCCGGTGTTCTCACCGGAGGGAGCTTGGCCAGCCCTGGAGGGTCGCTCCTGCAGCAGTGAAACACTGCAGACAGGCCCTCGGTAGCGTACAGAGATGCGCACATAGATATTGGGGGTTGGACTAGATGACCTCTAGGGGTCCCTTCCAACCCAAAACATTCTATGATATGATTCTATGTTGAGATGAAGTCTGAATGCTTAAGGTAAATGAGAGCTAAAGTTTCAACTACTCAACTTGCAGGGAGAAAAAAAAAAAAAAAAGGTTAAAAGGAAGAACAATTAAAAACAACAGAAAGCCAGTCACCTAATTCAGAAGCTGGTCCAAGCAATAAGAACCTGACCCAAGGTGCACTAGAATCAGAGTCTCACAGACAGAAACTGAATGGAAGAATAAAATTAAAAAACAAACACACACAAAACCCCAACAAATCCCAAACCAGTTCAGTTTTAAAAGCAGTTTCTCAAAACTCAAAAAAAAACCACAACACCTGCCACCTTGAGTTTCATTAAAGGCAGTTTTTTTTCTGCTTATGGGGTGGGGGGGACACCGCTCTGCGCCGTCCCTGCGATTTCCCCACACCGAGATTGAGTTCCCTGCCTTGGCTTCCGAGCTGGAGGGCCCGGGCTGTGTCCGGGGGCTTGCTGGGGGAGTTGTGTTCTCACCACACCCCTGCTGGGCAGCGTTTGCTTTTACGCTCGCCGTCTCCTTAAAGAAAAACTCCTGCCCTGCAGTGACCCCCATCACAAAATGGAGGGGAGCAGGGGAAGACGGGGAACAATTATTTTTTATATCTATATAACTTTTTTTTTTTTAAATTTTAAACCTTTGGATCTTCTGGCTTCTTCAGTGGGGGGAAAAAAAAAAAAAATTCTTGCAGCAACTCTCGCCCCCCTCAGGGTCTGCAGGCGCAGTTCGGTCCCCCCGGTGCTGGAAGCCTCGCTGCAATTCCAACAGGAAAATTTGTTCCTTGCAGAGTTTGACTTGGAGGGAAACTTGGCACGACTGCAGTGGGGGACGAATCCGAAGCTTTCCTGGAAGCCTGGCTTTGCTTTGGAGGGAATCCGGGCGCTTCTCCCTCCTCCCTGCGCCTTGGCGGGGCTGGCGCGGGGCAGGGAGGGCCCGGGGGCCGTGGTGCGGGAGGCCCCCGTGGGGCAGAGTTGGGGGGGTGCCCGGGGGTAACCGCCC